GGAGGACTACGAGCCTACCAAGGCCGACAGCTACCGGAAGAAGGTGGTGCTGGACGGGGAGGAAGTGCAGATCGACATCTTGGACACAGCCGGGCAGGAGGACTATGCCGCCATCAGGGACAACTACTTCCGGAGCGGCGAGGGCTTCCTCTGTGTCTTCTCCATTACGGAAATGGAGTCCTTCGCGGCCACAGCCGACTTCAGGTATGTCAGGAAGTCGTGCCGTTACACCGCAGAACAGCTTGCTCCCCAGAAACAAGCAGACCACTAGAGGCTCTTACCTGATCGCCTTTCCCTCTGCGTCTAGTCGTGTTTATTCCCTCTGTGACATCAGTGTGACTCTGTCCGCTGCATGCTTGTACTCACATCCTCGGCGCAACCTGTGTAATCCCACAGCCAGCTCTGCCAGTGCCAGCTGCACTGGAGCCTGAGTTTGTTCAAGATTCACGCAGCTGAGTTGAATAAGTCATGAAACCAAGTGGAAGTTAGCGACAAAGTAGGAGATGTGGCCAGTGATGGTTACAGAGGATCCAGGAGAGGAGAGGAGCTGGGAGGCCTTCAAGAGATAGATAACCCTGAAGGATAAGAAGGATTTCCACAGATGAGGAAAGAGGTCATTCCTGGTGGTTGAGTAAGAAACTGAAGCAAGGGTTACACAAAGCATTCCTTTTTATGTATACGTGAAACTCTCAAGAACTTAAAAGATTCTAAAAGCACCTCCTTTGCAAAAAAGCATGTCATTGAGAAACTTTAAAAATATAAATTTGTAACATTAAGTTTGTTGGCTTCTATAAGGAAGGAGTTTTGTATGTGATAAAGTGCAAAGGGAGTTTTGTAATCCTGGGAGACATGCTGAAAGTTATGTAAGTGTCAGTGATTATTCATTCATTCAAAAAAATATTTTGAGTGCTTATTATGTAGCAGGTTCTGTACTAAGTAATGGAATACATTTTGTCACCATAGCCACCAAGCCAAAGTGGTATCTCAAGGGAGTGAGGTATTTTTATGCCAAGAGAAAGAATCTTGGGCTGTTGCTGTTACAGAAAATAAGTGAATCATTCATTACTCGTCTGTTGTACCTCCAGTGTGTTGCCCCTCCCATAAATAAAAACTGTTCCTACTGACTGACCAGCAATAGGAAAGCCATTTTTGAGATCGTCTGAATGGTTATCGTAGGCACTCCACACGGTCTGACCTGCAAAGTATAGCACAATGTCAGCTCCTCTCTTTTAATTTCTTTTTATTGAAGTATAGTTGATGTACAATGTTGTGTTAATTTCTGCTGTACAGTGAAGTGATTCAATTATACATATATATACATTATTTTTTCATATTCTTTTCCATTATGGTTTATCACAGGATATTGAGTATAGATCTCTGTGCTATTCAGTGGGACCTTGTTGTTTATCTGTTCTATATATAAAAGCTTGCATCTGCCAATCCCAACCCCCCCCTCCTTGGCAACCACAAGTCTGTTCTCTATGTCTGTGGGTCTGTTTCATAGATAAGTTCATTTGTGTCATATTTTAGATTCCACATATAAGTGATATCATATGGTATTTATCTTTCTGTTTTTGACTTCACTTAGTATGATAATCTCTGGTTGCATCCATGTTGCTGCAAATGGCATTATTTCATTCTTTTTTATGGCTGAGTAGTATTCCATTGTGTGTATATATATCTATACATGTCTCTATATATACCACATCTTCATCCATTCATCTGTCGATGGACTCTTAGGTTGCTTCTGTGTCTTGGCTATTGTGAATAGTGCTGCTGTGAACGTAGGGGTGCATGTATCTTTTTGAATTAGAATTTTGTCCAGATATATGCCCAGGAGTGGGATTGCTGGGTCGTATGGTAGTTCTCTTTTTAGTTTTCTAAGGAGCCTCCACACTGTTCTCCACAGTGGCTGCACCAACTTACACTCCCACCAACAGTGTAGGAGGGGTCCTTTTTCTCCACGCCTTCTCCAGCATTTGTTATAGACTTTTTAATGATGGCCATTCTGAGCAGTGAGAGGTGGTACCTCATTGCAGTTTTGATTTGCATTTCTCCGATTGTCAACTCCTCCCTTTAGCCTTCCTGGGCCTCCCGTCACCCAGACAGGATCCGTCGTTTCCTCGTGTGTGTGCGGTATGCTTACCACAGCTGCAGCAGCACACTCGCCGCACTCTTACATGAGATTGATTTATATGTGTTTTTCCTGATATGGTAAAAACTCTTCTTATCCATTTCAGTGTCTCTAGTACCTCTGTTTGGCACAGTTGCTGGCCTATAACTTGTAGTGCTTATTAAGTGTTTGATAGAAATAAAGCGCTGTTACGTTTTTTCATTCTCACTTTCCTTCTGATAAGAATGAAGTTGGACCAGTTTGTAAAGGTGCTTTCCTATTCTAAAATTCTGTAGTAGCCTCTCAAACTCTTTAAAGGGAGCATCACTTTAAGCAAAAATGCCAATAACGATTACAATCGTCACATCAGAAACCACTGATCACAGATCACCATAACAAATATAATAATAATGGAAAAGTTTGAAATGTTGCGAGAATTACCAGAATGTGACACAGAGACACAAAGTGAGCAAATGCTGTTGGAAAAATAGTGCTGATAGACTTGCTTGATGCAGGGTGACTACAAACCTTCAGTCTGTTCAGAAAAAAAAAAAGTAGTATCTACAAAGCACAGTAAAGCAGATTGCAGTAAACAAGGTATACTTTTATCAACCGTGATAAACGTACCACATTAATGTTAACAGTAGGGGAAACTGGATGTGGGGTATATGGGAACTCTCTGTCCTATCTTCACAGCTTCTCTGTAAATCTGAAATCATTCTAATATAAAAAGTTTATTTTCAAAAAAGCATTTCGGAGGAAGTTGCATTTGATATTCACTTCGTACGTCTGCTGCCATATTTATACTCTTCTTCTGTGTATTTTTCCGAATGAAGTGAATGTGGAGCTCAAGTCATTGATGGTAGAAAAAGGAAGAAGTGCTGCTTGTTTCCTACTGGGTAATAAGTGAGCTATTTGTTATTGTCTAGAAACATAAATAACTGCTAATTGCATGTTTTGTTATTTTAACATGTAGAGATAACATTAATATTTCTTGCTCATTTTCTCTTATCCAGGGAGCAGATTTTAAGAGTAAAAGAAGATGAGAATGTTCCATTTCTGCTCGTTGGAAACAAATCAGATTTGGAAGATAAAAGGCAGGTTTCTGTAGAAGAGGCAAAAACCAGAGCCGATCAGTGGAATGTTAACTATGTGGAAACATCTGCTAAAACGCGAGCTAATGTTGACAAGGTAAAAAGGTGGCTCTACTGCTACGTCATGTTAAAAATAGGTTGATGTGCTTTAACTCGGCTCTGTTTAGTCTAGAGATTCTGTGAGACTTTCAAATAGAGGTTTAATACGTGTTGATTTTTTATGGCCCTGAATGCTCAAGTACAGCATGTTAGGAATTTACTTCACTTTGTCCTTATAGGTTCCCGAGAGGCGTTAAAACATGAGACACTGCAGCTAGATGTACCTTTTTTTTTTTTTTTTTAAAGCACTGAAAGATTCCTGACCTGAATCCCTGCCTTTTTTTTTTTTTTTCCTTATCCTGATTGGCTGGAGAATCTAGAAGGAACAATGTAAGTCCTCTGAGCTGACACCTGCCCAGCCTCACTTAAGTTCTCCCAGACCCCGGGGGAGAGGATTTTGAAATCTCTGTCATCACAGCTGCCTTCCCTACCCTCAGCCTCTGTTCTCCCCCAAGTGGAAGGGGAGCTCCTGTGTCCTCTCCCCTCATCCTCACACTGTGTTCAGATTGGCCCTTCCTGGAGACCAGGTGCAGAACACCCTTACCTCGTTTCTAGAAGCCTTCCCAGTGCTTTTCATCCTGCTGCGGGACGCCATCATCAGTATTTAGGAAGCCTGCCGGTTGCGCTGGGGCAGCACAGGTTCTGAGAGCCCTCCAGGCGGGGCCTTTTCAGCCCCCGTGTATCTAGGCTCTACTGAGTGCCTCTCAGAAACTAACGTGCAGGAGGATTGCCTATAGAGCCTGATAAACACAGATTCCTGGGTCTTCGCCAGAGATTTTGATTCGCTTGGTCTGGGGTGAGACCTGAGAATTTGCCTATCTAGCTAGCTCCTGGATGTGCAAATGGGCGGTGCGGCACACTTGGAGTAACTGCCCTAGGTGGCCGCAGGTGCTTGTGAGCTCGTCTGCTGTGGCTGTAGATTCGCAGCCCTGGTCCAGAAATCATGATGTTAAAAATTTAGAGATTCTTTCTGCCTGTTTACTGTAGGTTTTAAGACAGTGTTATTACTGTCTTAAACTGATTTTTTTTTTTTAGTCACACAGTCAGATTCCTTTAAGTCCAAGACATCTGTACAAATTGCTGTAAGATTTCTACTGAGTAGACCAGTTTCCTCTAAAGTTATGGCAAATTTAAAGTACTGATGAAATACAGTTTAAGGTTCAGCATGTTTGTTTGGGGTTTTGAAAGGCACCAATGAAGACTGTCATAGCATATGTATACTTTGTTTCCTCCTGTTTGATGTCTTGAGCAGGTTATAGAACAAACCATCGTGATCTAAGGGGAGTGGGGAGCAATAACTGTCCAAGCTCTGAGGCTCGAAGCAGTCCTGTAGTGTCACCTGCTGGCATCAGAGGCCCTGGGAGAATACGGTAGTGTGCATTATCAGAGATCTCACCAGACAGTAAGAAAAAGACCAACAACCCAATGGGAAAATGGTCGAAAAACAGATAGCCCTGTCACAGAAAAGAAATGCAAATCGTGTTTAAACTTGCAAAGAGGCTTATGAGTCTTACTTATAAAAAGGGAAGTGAAATTTTAAAATATAATGACATATTTTTTTTACCTGTCAATTGGAAAAGGGCAAGAAGGTTGATAATAATACTGTTGACAGGAGTATGGGAAAAAAAGGAACTCTCATATGTTCTTGGAAGGGCAGTCTGGCAATTATCTATCAAAAATTATGACCCCAACAATTCAAGTTCTAAAACTTTATTATACAGATAAAATTATACATCCATGCATAAGTGTATGTTCAGCAGTAGTCCTTGAAGCATTATTTGTAGAAGCAAAAGACAGGAAATATCCAAGTGTCCAGGAACAGATGGTGTGTCCATATAATGGAATACTGTACAGCTGGTGAAAAGAAGGTAGAACTTAATGTGCTGATGTGGAATGATCTTCAACATCAGTAAATGAAAAAGCAAAGTACAGAACAGCGTCTAGTTTGCTGCCATCTGTGTTTGAAACATACTCATACACACACAAGCGCACATGTATGTATATATCGGGAATATGTAAGATTCTAGTACCTGTGGTTGCCACCAGAGAGCTAAGTCACAGACGTGCATGTTTCACTGCTGTGTCCTGAAGAGTGGCTACCAGATAACGTACCTCAGTGGCTAAGGAAAAGTAACTTGCAGCAACTCTTCAGTTTCTTAAATTTGGTTACGTTGGGATTATATTTGTTTTTTGGGTTTGTTTGCTGAGGCAATGATGTAATACAGTTGTAAGAGCTGATAATACTCTTTAGTGCTTGAAGAGCCAGGCGCTGTGGCCAGCACTCACTGTTTCATCTTTAACCCTATGAAGCACAGATACTCCTCTCATGACGCCTTTTTAGGTGAGGAAATTAAGGTGCGGAGAGATTACATACCTGGCTCAAGGTCACCATGTCATAGTGGCATCTGCTGGCTCTGGGTGTGGCCAGCTCTGGAGCCAATGTTCTTCCCTGTCTATTTTACTTAAAACAATGGTTGGAATACCTGTGGCATCTCCCATGTTGTGTGTCATCCACTCCCAGGAGTCTGATCAGATTTTGCAGGATTAAGTGTTAACAGTGTCTCCTTCTATTAAATTGAGAGGTGTTTTGTCACAAAAAACAAATACTAGCTCCCGCCAGACTTTAAACGCCCATGGCTTATCCTTACCAGGATTCCAAATAGACCACTGGGTAGAAGTTTCAAAGAAGCAGATTTTTAAAACTACCCTGTGAAAAAGCTTCATGACCATCAGAATTGTTGAGCTGAGGCCTGGCCTGTCTCAGAGGAATCACTCAGAGGCTAGAGGACCATCTGGGAAACCTGCTTGGGTCCTCCCTGGGTGCCAGGTCATCTGATGACCTTGTAGTACCCTTCTAGCTAAATGCTCTGGCTCTTTAAATCGCAACTCCAAGGTTGCTCTTAATTTTAAGGAACATCTTGGGGGAAATGGAAAGAAATTAGGCAAGTAGATGTCAAAATGAAAGTATGATTTATTATGTCAAGAGAGCCAATTTTATGTTGGGGAAAGAATTTTGTTAGAAATGTAGTGTCTTGTTTTTGAAAATGTTTTTAATTTTTTTCTTTATACAAGTAATACATGAACATATGCTCATTGTATAAAGAAAAATTCATGATACAGAGGAAAAAGTATAAGGAGGAAAAGTGAGTGTCACTCCACCCGGATTCCACTCACCTCCTTTACCTGTAGGTAACCACTGCTAACACGTGTGTATCTTTCCAGACATTTACCTGCCTTTAAAGACAGGCATACAGAATCTAAGGGAGGAAAAAAAAAAGAACCTTAGGGAAAGGTTGTACTTGCTTGTTTTCCACCTGTATAAATAGGATTTGTGTGTGTGTATAGTGTATTTCTGTGGTTTGCTTTTTAAATTTCACAGTAAATAGATCTGTAGTTCTTTCCATGTCGTTGCATATAGACGTACCACATTCTTTTTAAAATCTACAAAATGTTCCATAGTTAGGAAAATGGCTGAATTATGAAAAAAGTCTACCAGTGACATTTAGGTTGTCTGCAGTGCTATTACAAACATAACACAGTGAACTGTGTGAACGTGCACCCACACAAGACCAAAAGCAAGGGTGCATTTAAAATTTTAATGACAAGTCACCCTCCAGAGAGGCTGCCTTACACTCCCACCAACAGTGTGAGGAAACCCTTTCCCCACTCCTTGCCAGTGTCAATTAAAGGAGCCTTTAAATGTCCCCAACAAGATGGGGAAATCACTTCTTTTGTGTTTCCTGATTACTACTGAGGCTGGGCAGCTTGTAGTTGATTCATTGGCCGTTTGTAGATCTTCTGTGAACGCTGAAATTACATTGATCTAATGGGGGGTTTATCTTTTTGATTCATAAGCCTGCTTTATATTAAGGACATTAATGCTTTGTCCACTATATCCTTTTGGGACAGTGTCTCCTAATGCATACCATATCTGTTTTTATCTTTTTTTTTTTTTGAATGTATAGTTGATTTACAGTATCATGTTAGTTTCAGGTGTACAGCAGAATGATTCAGTTATACATATGTATATTCTTTTCCAGATTCTTCTCCCTTATAGGTTATTACAAAATATTGAGTATAGTTCCCTATGCTATCCAGTAGGTCCTTGTTGTCTTTTTTTTTTTTCCTACAAAAGAAATAGAAATTTTTATTCAAGCCAAATTTGAGGATTATAACTGCATAGAGCATCTCAGAAAGCTCTAAGCACTGTTCCCGGTTATCTGTTTTATATATAGTAGTGTGTATATGTTAATCCCAATCTCCTAATTTAGCTCTCACCCCTTCCCCTTTGGTAACCATAAGTTTGTTTTCTGTGTCTGTGAGTCTCTTTCTTTTTTGGAAATAAGTTCATTTGTATCTTTTTTTTTTTAGATTCCATATATAAGCGATATTATATGATATTTATGTTTCTCTGGCTTATACTTCATTTAGTATGATAATCTCTAGGTCCATCCATGTTGCTGCACATGGCATTCTTTCATTCTTCCTTATGGCTGAGTAACATTCCTCTGTGTGTGTGTACACATATATATCACATCTTCTTTATCCACTCCTCTGTCAATGAACATTTAGGTTGCTTCCATGACTTGGCTATTGTAAATAGTGCTGCGATGAACATTGGGGTGCACGTATCTTTTTTTTTTTTTTTTTGCATGTATCTTTTTGAATTATGGTTTTTTCCACGTATATACCCAGGAGTAGGATTGGATCATATGGTAACTCTGTTTTTAGTTTAAGGAACCTCCATACTGTTCTCCATAGTAGCTGCACCAATTTACATTCCCACCAACAGTGTAGGAGGGTTCCCTTTTCTCCACACCCTCTCCAGCATTTATTGTTTGTAGACTTTTTGATGATGGCCATTCTGACTGGTGTGAGGTGATACCTCATTGTAGTTTTGATTTGCATTTCTCTAATAATTAGCGGTGTTGAGCATCTTTTCATGTGCCCATTGGCCGTCTGTATGTCTTCTTTGAAGAAATGTGTATTTAGACCTTCTGCCCATTTTTTCATTGGGTTTGTTTTGATACTGAGTCACATGAGCTGTTTGTAAATTTTAGAGATTAATCCCCTGTTGGTCACATGGTTTGCAGTTATTTTCTCCCATTCTGTGGGTTGTCTTTTCATTTTGCTTATGGTTTCCTTTGCTGTGCAAAAGTTTTTGAGTTTAATTAGGTCTCATTTGTTTATTTTTGTTTTTATTTCCATTACTCTAGGAGACAGATCCAAAAAGATATTGCTGCAATTTATGTCAAAGAGTGTTCTGTCTAGGTTTTCCTCTAGGAGTTGTATAGTATCCAGTCTTACATTTAGATCTTTAATCAGTTTTGAGTTTATTTTTGTGTATGGTGATAAAGAATGTTCTAATTGTATTCTTTTACATGTAGCTGTCCCAGTTTTCCCAGCACCACTTATTGAAGAGACTGTCTTTTCTCCATTGTATAGTCTTGCCTCCTTTGTTGTAGATAAACCCACGCACCTATGGTCAATTTATCTCTGGGCTTTCTATCCTGTTTCATTGATCTATATTTCTGTTTTGATTACTGAAGTTTTGTAGTATAGTCTGAAGTCAGGAAGTCTGATTCCTCCAGTTCCATTTTTCTTCCTCAAGGTTGCTTTGACTATCAGGGTCTTTTGTGTTTCCATACAAATTAAAAAATTTTTTGTTCTAGTTCCGTGAAAAATGCCATTGGTAATTTGATAGAGATTGCACTGAATCTGTAGATTGCCCTGGGTAGTGTAGTCATTTTGACAATATTGATTCTTCTGAGCCAAAAAAACGTTATATCTTTACATCTGTTTGTGTTGTCTTCAGTTTCTTTTATCAGCATCTTAGTTTTTGGAGTACAGGTCTTTTGCCTCCTTAGGTAGTTGTATTCCTAGGTATTTTATTCTTTTTGATGCGATGGTAAATGGGATTGTTTCTTTAATTTCTCTGTCTGATCTTTCGTTGTTAGTGTATAGAAATGCAACAGATTTCTGTGTATTAATTTTGTATCCTGCAACTTTACCGAATTCATTGATGAGCTCTTGTAGTTTTCTGGTAACATCTTCAGGATTTTCTATGTATAGTATCATGTCATCTGCAAACAATGACAGTTGTTTTAATTCTTCTTTTCCTATTTGGATCCCTTTTCTCTTTCTTGTCTGATTGCCATGGCTAGGTCTTCCAAAACTATGTTGAATAAAAGTGGTGAGAGGGGACATCCTTGTCTTTTTCCTGATCTTAGAGAAAATGCTTTCAGCTTTTCACTGTTGCTGTGGGTTTGTCATATACAGCCTTTATTATGTTGAGGTATGTTCCCTCTGTGCCCAGTTCCTGGAGAGTTTTTATCAAAAGTTTGGGTGCTGAATTTTATCAGAAGTTTTTTCTGCATCTATTGAGATGGTCATATGGTTTTTATTCTTCAATTTGTTGATGTGGTATAGCACACTGATTGATTTGCTCCATACCATGTCTTATTTATTTAGGCTGCGTTGGGTCTTTGTTGCTGCACCTGGGCTTTCTCTAGTTGCAGCAAGTGGGGGCCACTGTTCGCTGTGGTACGCAGGCTTCTCACTGCGGTGGCTTCTTGTTGCAGAGTGTGGGCTCAGTAGTTGTGGCTCGCAGGCTCAGTAGTTGTGGCGCACAGGCTTAGCTGCCCCACGGCATGTGGGATCTTCCTGGACCAGGGCTCGAACCCGTGTCCCCTGCATTGGCAGGCGGATTCTTAACCACTATGCCACCAGGCAAGTCCCCATACCATGTCTTTTAACTTTGCTGATTTTTACCTTTTGCCATGGAAAAAATATTAAAGATTATGTTGTCAAATTTGTTGTTTTTCCTTTGAGACTTCTGGATTCTGTGGCTTCATTAGAAAAGCTCTCCCATCCTAAACTTAAAAAGCACTTACCTAGGGCTTCCCTGGTGGCACAGTAGTTAAGAATCCACCTGCCAATGCAGGGGACACAGGTTCAAGCCCTGGCCCGGGAAGATCCCACATGCCATGGAGCAGCTAAGCCTGTGCACCACAACTACTGACCCCGCATGCCACAACTATTGAAGCTCACGCACCTAGAGCCCGTGCTCCACAACGAGAAGCCACCGCAATGTGAAGCCTGCGCTCCGCAACAAAGAGTAGCCCCCGCTCACTGCAACTAGAGAAAGCCTGTGCAAGCAACGAAGACCCAACGCAGCCAAAAATTAATAAGAAAAACACTTAACGTATAATTTTTGCTTCCTTTTTGTGTTGGCCTTTATAGTATATGTTTAATCCTTTTGAAAATTTAGTATTGTCTGTGTTGTGAACTAGGGGCTGTTAAGTACTTAAAATGAAGAAACTGGTGAAGGCAAAGGTTTACATTTAAAGCTAACGGTCTATGATGCTTTAAGAGAGATGTTTGTCATTTCTAATAATTTTTATGTTTTTTCAACTGTAAGTATTCTGAGCTAAGCATTTTGAGTCTGTGTCTAGTTTCGTTTCACTTTCATTTACGTGAGAACAGGGATTTCCTGTGATCTCTACTCTGGAATTAGAAGAGTCAAATTCTGTACATGCCAGGGGGGGAAATGGGGGGAAGGGAAAGAAGGGGACAGGAGGAAAGAGGGTGGGAGGAAATGAGGGCAAGCAGAAATTTTTTAAAAAGTTGGAAGAAGCTCTGTACTTTCGGGATTATCATTTGTCTGAGTTTATCAAAACCAGTTCTTCATTCTTACTCCAAATTACTTATTTCCTTCCACTTGGCAGTTGAAACAAGGCCTCCTTTACCTTAATTCATTAAGTTAGCTGATGTAAAGTTTAAGAGTTTTCCATTGGGTTTGCTAGTTAAGATGACCTTGGTGGTTTCCAGTAGGGATTCGTTTGCAGTTTATTGCAGATACTTATCTAAAATTAGAAATCACATCTTCTAATATCCATTCTGCAGTGATATATTCACATCAGAAAGCAGTACTGGGAGTTTTCTGCTAATCACACGTAGTTAGTTTGGAGGCTTCCTGCCCTGGCTGGTCAGCTGTGGACTTGAAGCAGAGGTGTTGCAAAATCCCCAGTCTCCAGGCCGTCAAGCTGCAGCAAGTGGGGCAAGAATTCATGGGGTTTGAACTGTCACCTACGTGTTTCAGTACATTGCATTCTTTCTGAGCTTTTATGCTCAGTCTTCCCCTTCTTTAATTATCCGTGTCCTTTTCTGTTGGTCCTGCGTCCATTTAACTCAACCCATTGGTCTGATAGTCCTTGTTTACTTTTTTAATTTTTATTTTATATTGGAGTATAGTTGATTACCTGTGTTGTGTGTCAGGTGTACAGCAAAGTGATTTAGTTACACATATGCATGCATCTCTTCTTTTTCCAATTCCTTTCCCATTTAGCTTATCGTAGAGTATTGAGCAGAGTTCCCTGTGCTATACAGAGGTCCTTGTTTACCTGTTTTAAATGTAGCAGTGTGTACATGTCAATCCCTAACTCCCTATCTATCCCTCCCCCCACCCTTCCCCACCATAAGTTCATCCTCTAAGTCTGTGAGTCTGTTTCTTTTGCAAATAAGTTCATTTGTATCATTTTTTTTTAGATTCCACATTAAGCAATATCATGTGATATTTGTCTTTGTCTGTCTGACTTAGTATAATAATCTCCAGGTCCATGCATGTTGCCGCAAATGACA